GGTGGATGGTCCATGGACGCACAAAACAAGAAAAAGGAAAACAAGAAAAAGAGAAAAAAGCAGCGCAGCTAGCTGCAGCTCAGAAGCTCACATGTCACGCACATAATAAACAAATCCAAAAAACTCCTTCACCAACTTCGTAAAACACGAGGCCAACTTAACACCCCCGTTCTGCTCGTAATCTACACCGCCTACATTCGCCCGGTTATAGAGTACGGCAGGCTCGTGTTATCCAACACCACCCGCACACAGAAGGACCAATTAGAACGCGTTCAGCGACGAGCAGCCCGTATCTGCCTGCGGATCCCCCTTTTTGCACCAGTCCATCACAGCTCACTTCTTCATCATCTCCAACTCCCCACATTAGTCTCCCGGCAACTCTTACGACAGGTTACTCTTGCCCACAACATCAAGTACATCCGCGCTCCCCTTCACCTGCAACAGCCTCACCTTGCACGACCAATCACAGAGCAGCCATATGCACTACGACACATGAGAACATACACATTGAGAACATCACACACATACCGACACACCAGCTCACCCATCAACCTGTCCCTTCACAATTTCAACCAACTACCCCCCGACCTGCGTGAAACAAATAGCAAGCATGCGTTTAAATCAATGGCGTCTAGCCTCATTCTATCATCCATATGCTCCTGTAGTAGCTCACACTGTACCCCATCGTGACCCCATCCCCCTGCCATGTGTTGGTTTCCTTACTTGCTAGACTGATTTTATATGATTCTGGACTGATTTGAATCATATTATCTTCCTTATTGGCCATGGGCCATCGTGGAAATAAAGAATAATAAAAAGTGCGGGAGGCATGACAGCTCTACGACCGCACGTCCAGTACACAAATTTTCGCGGCGGGTCGGCGAAAACCGCTACCTGATGCGGTCTTCACGTCGACGACACGGACAACACCATCGCGGCCTGGATGGACAGCTGAAACGACACCTTTGGGCCAGGAACCCCGCGGTGCGTTGTCATCGTTTACGACGAGCTGCTTCGTTTGGCGGTTCCACTTTGTGCGGCGAGCGAGAGTCGGAAGGTACTCACGAACGCAACGGCGCCAGAACATATCTGCAAGGTCTTGCGCAACGCGCCATTGGCGCCGCAGCGAGACATCTCCTGCCTGCGCGATTCCTTGAAGAATGGCACACGAGGAGCCGGTCAGGAAGTGGTTTGGAGTCAAGGCCTCGTCGTCGGTGGCATCCAGACTGACATATGTGAGAGGTCGACTGTTCACGAGGCATTTCAACGAGTTTTGTGGGACTATGTCGCATGAGAATTTTGAATTTTGAGTGAAATAAGAAGTAATGGACGAATCGTTGGCTTCCCCAGGTGTCTGTCTCTGCACAAGAGCCAGGCCGGTAGAGCGCATCCAGAACAGTCTTTGTTCCGGAGTGCATTGCAAGGGAAATCCACAAAAGCTCGTGATCACGGCAATCTATATCGTCGTGGTGGGTAATGAATAGTTCACTCCTAGCCCACGCTGCAACACGGCCACCATGGGCATCTCGATCCTTCCTTATAGGGGGTGAGTATCCTGGGATGGTCAACTCATGGGAGGAATTATCTGAGCAGAGCTTCGTTTCTGTTACTATTGCCACATCTACATTATACTGCAGGATTGCATGCTGCAGGGCACCTACATGTATCTTGTTGCTCAGGCTGAATGCAATAGTCACTAACAGTCGCAGAGGTCTGGATCCATCATTGGGCATGAGAGGACTGGGCATCCTGCTGGGGTGGCTGCGCATCATGCTGGTCATGTTGTGGCGCAGATCCGTTTGATCTCTTCAGGTCTCCAGCCTCTGGTGGGGAGAGGTGGGAGATCCTCCCCCTTTTTTGGCCACTGTGTAGTGGAGTGGAGATGAAGTCTGCCGGTGGTGGTGGCGGCGGGGAGGAGGAGGACGTTGAGCCCGGCTGCTGTTGTTGCTGTTGCTGTTTAGTCAGAACACTGGCAGAGGTGCTGTTTCTGCTGCTGTGGCTGCGACTGCTGGTGCTGCCCTCAGCCTGAGCTGGTTTCTAAGAACCTCCATGGCCTGCAGTATGGGCCTTGGCCAGAAGTTGGGCGCTGTCACTGTGGAGAGTGCACAGAAGATCGGAGCACTCTGGCGAATGCGCCGCTGCCTGAATCACCAGTCACGCATGACCTACTTTAGATCGCTTATCATGTCTGACCTGCTGTATGCTTCAAACGCGTACTCTAGCTCACTGCAAAGAAGGTACCTCGACCGTCTACAGGTCCTGCAGAACAGTGGGGCTCGTGCTGTCTTTGGCCGCCCTCCGTGGTCGTCTGCCCGCGACCTGCTGGAGCACATGTCAGTGTTCCCTGTGGCAGAAGTCTTCAATCAGAAGCTAGCATACCTGGTGTGGCGCTGTCGTTATGCACTGGCAAGTCCAGAGTTGCAAGCCCTGCTAACCCCCGCTGCACCCGGCCCTACTCGGCTCCAATCTGCCATGGGCCTGTGCGTGCCAGTTTCCCATTCAGTTGCAGGGCGGGGGCGCTTTGCTTGCAAGGGTGCTGTATTATGGAATGCCCTCCCCAGCGACATCCGTGCCATCCATCATGCTCGGCAGTTTCGCACGCAGGTAATCCCCTGTACCTGTGCCCTGTAGATGCTGAAGACAAGCGAAATCTTCTGTTTTTTTCTGTTTTCTTTCTGTTGTACCCGATCTCCCTCTGATGTACTGCTGACTCTATGCTGAAGATCTAAGCATTTAAATTCTCATTCTCATTATAATTTTTATATTCGCTTTCATGTTATTGGGTTCTATGCCCGTTTGAATTTGCGAATCAAAATAAATACAAACAAACAAACAAACTGGCATCGATGGTCACTCTTGCGGAAGCACGCCCACTTTCTGACAGCCATACACTGCAGGTGTGGACAGGAATGGAGGCGCCCAGAAACTCACTCCTGGTTTTGATAAATTGCCTGAAGTGGCTCTCAGTGCTATCTGTGGCGATATTGCCCACATACACCACAGCACGCTTGTTTTTGGGTCGTTCTGAGGAGACAAGCTTCCACGAGTCATCCTCAATAACATGGAAGATTGGCTTGGATTCTGTCACATCTGTCTGGTACTTGGTGGGGATGGCATCTTGGTCGCCATCCCCTTCACACTCGTCACTGCTACGGGAGATGTTGCAGAGGACGCTGCCATCCTCTTCACGTTCACACTCGTCACCGCTACGGGAAACGTTGCTGGGGACGCTACGGGACATCGTGGTGCCATGCTTTCGAGTACCTGTACCCGCACTGCCTGCTTTGGTACGCCTACGCCACTCTTTGAAGCTGCTGAGAGACGACAGTACTCTGACTGCATCCGGTAGGACGTTCCAAAGGGAGGCAGGGCGAGATCGTCCGGCGCGGGTTCGTGTAGCTGGTAGACGGAACCCCAGGGCGAGATCCAGGCGCGTCCTACGATCCGCGCAGCGTACGAAGAGCTCCTGGAGGGATGGACTCGCACTGGCGTGTATACACCTTCAGACAAAGACCAGGACCTTCTGCCGATATAGCTCGACTTGTCAGGGGTTCTAGGGCTGATAATCCCCTGACCCAGGGGATTATTCTTCATAATCCACTAGGTGAGGGGAAAGAGCCCAAGACTTTGGACTGCTCTCACTATACCTAGCGAGAGTAGGCCAAAGCAAGCTAGCCAAACAAACCCCAAAGAGCCAGCCTGGAAGCCGCTGTGTGAAATCTCAATCAAATGATCTTATTATAGGAAGGTAATTGAACAAGTGGACATATTTACAAAACTCTTACATGAGCACCGTGAATATGTTTTTTGTATTAGATGAACATGGATGTGAACGTGCAATTACAGCTACTCGTGAATAATTGGCAACAAGGTACATGTATGTCTGCAACGTCAATGACAACGTTGCCATGGGAACTGAACAACAAATGAAAGAAAATACATTGTATTGTATCGTAAATATTGTAAATTTACTATGGAACCTAAACAAGAGAAATGTTGTTCTTTGTATTTTGAATTCGCAAGAAATCCAACACGCCCGCATCTCGATGTCAACAACAATGTTGCCATGGAAACTGAACACTGGTCATACTGCCCATCACCTCGCCCCCCCCTTCCCAAACGACAATCCATTTACAAGACTTGGAGTTGTAGAGGGTTGGTTAATGGTTTTTTTTAGTAAACCAGATGAGTGAAAACCCATAAATCAATAGGCTGAGAAAATTCGAAGAGAAAAACGCACAGATGAGGACTTACAAGAGTACACAACATGTGGGGCCTGAACTCCCACCAGGACAAGAAGAAAACCATAACAGGCTGAGGCAATGTAAAGAGAAAAAGATCAGGACTTACAAGAGTACACGCAAAAACAACATGTGGGGCCTGAACTCCCACCAGAAAAAGAAGAAAACCATAATAGGCTGAAGCAAAATACAGAGAAGAAAAAACACAGATCAGGACTTACATGTAAAAGAGTACACGCAAAACAACATGTGGGGCCTGAACTCCCACCAGAACAAGAAGAAAACCATAATAGGCTGAGGCAAAATACAGAGAAGAAAAAAACACAGATCAGGACTTTACAAGAGTACACGCAAAAACAACATGTGGGGCCTGAACTCCCACCAGAACAAGAAAAAAACCATAACAGGCTGAGGCAATGTAAAGAGAAAAAAACACAGATCAGGACTTACAAGAATAAACGCAAAAACATGTGGGGCCTGAACTCCCACTACAAAACAATAGCAATATAAAAAGATCAGGACGGGAAAAGAAAGAAAACAGAGGAATGCCAGGCAACTAAAACAAGAGTGAGTCACGACAGCTTGATGACAACTGTGGCACCCTCCGCGGCATACACATTGCCAATGCTGATCAGGGCCCGGCGACGCTTACGGTTGGGGAGTGCCGAGTCATTTTCACTGTCGGTGTCTTCCCGCGCAACTGTTGTCTTTGGCTTGCAGGGTTCTTGTGCTGGCTGGTCCTGACAACGGTTGAGGATGTCAGATGTTGCCATCTGTTTTTTTCTCGGAGGTGACCTTATACTGCCGCACAGCGTCGCTGCGGTGTCCAGTCACCTCTTTAATCGTCTGTTCATCAACTCCGTTGTCGTACAGTTGTGTAGCGCACGTCCGCCGCAAGGAATGGTTCGTGAAGAACCCACTGAGGCCACCTCTGCTGCAGATATCTGCAACCATACACCGCAATGTGTTCTTCCCAAGAGGCACATTGCCGAACCACGTTTGCTCCGTTGGCTTCTGCAAAGGCTTCAGGTAAAATGCTTGAGCTTCACTCGGTCGCTTTGCTACGTACTTCTTGAATATGGCAACCGGGCATCGAGGTTGGCAGCTAGGGTTGTCATAAGCGCGCACAGACTTCTGCTGGACTTTGCGGCTTTTAAGCCCGCCCTGATTGGTTTTCGACACTTCCTCCGTATAGAGCAGATAAGATCTGCCATCCTCAGGCTCATGGAGGGTTATCTGCGAGTTCGGCAGATATCTCGGGGATCGGTGCTCTTCGCCACTTCGCAGAGCGAAGTTCTTCCCAACCAAGAAAAACACGGTATCCAGCAGCTGCTGGGGCTGGTCACTACCGAGACCGCCAGCTTCCCAGAGCTTGTCCTCGTCCTTTGGCCAGATCGGCTGCGCTTGGCGGCGTTGACCTGTAGACGTTCTGGCGGACTCCTTCATGCATGTGTCCATCACATCCTGAAATCCCTTGTACTCAAAGGAATTGAAGAAGGCACAGCTTGGCCGCTTTTCGCGCACTGCGCGCTGCAGTTCGACTACAATTTCGTGGACAGTTTTACCCGGGTATTTCTGGCCTTTTTGGTCCCTGATCTCCAAAACAAATCGCTGGAGTAGCCAAACCAGCTCGATGTCGCCAACCTCCCATATTGGCGCTTTCACGGCAGCCACCAGCATCTCATTGGGATATGTGTCCGTTCGACTTTTCCGCAACTCATCCCATATGGTTACAGCCCACTTCATCTTCCTCCTGGTGTTGACGGGAACGGACGCTTCGGCCTTATCTGACACCTCGTTGTCCGTGACCCTGACAAATTAAGTACAGCTGCAATGGTGTCTTCAACTTCATTCTCCCGAGTCAAGCTCCGTATGAAGACACCCATGAAGAAGATTGCCTGATGAGTCCAGCGGGGACGAAACGTACGTCGCAATCGAGCTATGTCGTTGCTGTGTCATCTTCTATGTGCCATGCGCTACTTGATGTACCAGCCTGCGATGCCGGATACCGCCAACCATGCATCGACCAGGCGCCAGGCGCGAACTGATGGTGGTGGTGGTGAGAAGGAGAGCTCTGTGCTAGAACTTTGCAGCCTAGAGAGCGTGTGTGGGCAGGCGTGTGTTTACCGCCATATTGCCGGGTGTGTCTTTACCACCATATTTATCAACTATCTTCGACAACTGCAACAACAAGGGCAAGCAATGCAAGGCTGGCAACAACTGAAAATTGACAGTACTTCATTCTTCTTTTCTTGCAGCAGAGAGCCCATATGAAGGTGTTTAGTTTTACAACCAGGGAGTAGTACAATACCAAGAGTACTCTTGACAATACCAATGTACTACTCCCTTACTAAAGTTAGTACAAGCATTGTTTTTCATTTGTCAGATTGTGTTTTGTTCCTGTGTTTTGTTCCTGTGTCATGTTTCCTTGCTTGCAAGCTTGCCTTGCCTTTTTGTTGAGCTTGAAAAAGTACTACTGAGTACTGTACTCCCTGCTTACAACTGAAAAAGTGTGAAAGCCAACAACTGTGTACCGTGATGGCTGCGCTGACCCCTGACAAGTCGAGCTATATACAGATAGTGCACGGATTGGTCCTCGGAAGAATATTTTTCATAATCCCCGCGGCGCTGCGCGCCTTGGGGATTATGAAAAATATTCTCCTCGGATCCGTGCACTATCCTATACGTACTTCTCCAATCCTGAACACCTGCATGCGTTCCAGGAGATTACTGGCACGAGAGAATCCTGGCCTGCCGTAGACTGCTCTTGCCCCCACGGTTTTGTGCTACTTGGAGCCGATCGATCTGGGCCTGGGTGAGACCTGGGCTAAGCGCAACGGACCTATACAGTAGATCCGGCATGATAGCTGCCTTGAAGCACAGCACACGGCTAGCAAGTGTTAGCGACTTTCGTGTCCGCCACAGAGTTCCAATTTTCTTAAAATGGCTTTCGTGATGCTCGCATCGACCTGGGGCTGCCATGACATGCGTACATCCAAGATGATGCCAAGGTAGCGGGCACTGGTGACGCTTGGCACGGGTATGCCATCACACTTTACCACAACGTTTGGACTCTGGCCATTGGATCCTGCAAAGACAAGGAGCTGACTCTTGGTGGCGTTGAGGATGAGACTACGGGAGGCTAGCCAGCGAGCTAGGCTAGAGACAGCTGTTGTGAGCTCAGAAGAAACGCGGTCAGCGCTGCGGCGGCTGGAAGTCAAGGCTATATCGTCTGCAAACTGGATTGACGTAGTCGGAGAGGTAACAGTCGGTACGTCTCTAGTGTATATGCTGAAGAGCAGAGGCCCCAGGACCGAACCCTGCGGAACACCGCAGGTGCATGTAACAACCCTTCCGAGTGCGGTACCAGTGCGCACTTGCTGTTGGCGACTTGACAGGTAATGCTTGAACCAAGTCAGTGCTCCTCCAGTAACGCCAATGTCAAAAAGTCCTGGATAAGAATGCTGTGTTTGACTTTGTCGAAGGCTTTCGACATATCTTGAAGGCAGGTTGCCACAACTAGACCGTCATCTCGCCCAGTGTCAACTCTGTCAGTTAGTAGGGCAAGAGCATCTTCCGTAGAGTGCCCATGACGGAACGCAAATTGGGTCACTGCCAAGATGTTCATCCGTGCGACATGTTTCACCAACGATTTCTGCACGATCTTCTCAAGGATTTTGGACAGTATCGGTAGCAGTGATACCGGTCGGACATTTTTGGGAACAGAGGGATCACCAGACTTGTGGAGCGGTACAACGTGAGCTAATTTGAACTGCTGTGGAACTTCGCCGCTGGATAAGGATGCATTAAACAATGTCGTAAGACATGAAGCTAGCATATCAGCACAATGCTTGATCAGGAGACTTGGGATTCCATCACTTCCAGTAGCTTTGGCCGGGTTGACTTGCTGCAGCAAGCGCTCCAAAGCATCCACTGTGACGGGTGGAAAGGACACTAGGGAATGCTCTGCAGGGGGTCCAGCAGGCAGGAGTAGTTCGGATGGCCGAGTGATGTCCGTGAAGACAGTCTCGAAAGCAGACGTAATCGCCTCCACACCACACGATGGCTCCTGATGCAGGGGCGGATCCAGACCCCAAAGCTGAGGGGTGCGAGGATGAAACTTACATATTTTCTTTTACAGTAGTAAACCAAAGACATAGTATGTTATGTGTGTTACTATATAATATCGGATAATTACACATACATGTAGCACCAAGATGAGTAGTATGATTAGTTACACATTGAAAGTCAAAAGTTACAAGTAATTTACGACTGCTACCGGTATGATTCTCAGTCAGACACAGATTATGCTATGTACATGCTATATACACAATATCAACTCTAGTCAGAATTCAGGGCGGCTGTTCAGTTCCTTTGCACCCCCCTGGATCCAACCCTGTTCTGTATAGTACAACGAGCCTGGGCCTGGCCTGACCTTTTTTTTTTTTTTTTTTTTTTTTTTTTTTTTGAAAAATCCTGACGGGTTCATTTGCACCCTTCGCACCCCCCTGGATCCGCCCCTGTGATGTGTCCGCTTTCGACCGGTAACGGAGTTTATGACGGACCATAGCTGGCGGGGGTTTCCCGTGTTCTCCGAGCACTTGTTTCGAAAGAACTCGTTCCGTTTACGCCTGTAGGCATTTGATGCAGCTGACCGGGCCTGTTTGAATGCTGAGTGGGCCTGCTGGCAAGTTTTGTCCGATAGCCAACGCTTGTGCAGCCTGTTCTTCCGCATAGTAAGCTGATACAGCTCTCTGTCCGACCACGGTGGTTCGCTTGGGTGTTTCCGGCTTTGCTTGCAAGTAAATGGAGCATGGCGATCCAGAACAGTTATAAACTTTGAATGCCAGTCTTGCCACATTTCATCCACGTTAGCATGAGCAGGAAAAGCATACAAGTTTCCAGCAGTAAGGTCATTTCGGGAGTGGTTTATATTGATGTTGCGGAGATTTCGGGTGGATGTAGCCGGCTTACTGGTCGACTGCTTGGGCACGGAAATGTCCAGCTTGGCAAGAACTGCAAAGTGATCACTGATCGTGCACTGAATGACATGGCACATCGCTACTGTTTCGGGACGGGCTAGGATTAGGTCGATTACGGTACCTTGGGGGAAGTCGGGCGTCACACGCGTGGCACTATCTGTAACAGTTTTCCCCTGTTCTCTATAACTTTACACTCCCTCGCACCTCATGCGTCTTACGCCTGTCTATTAGCACCTTCATTGGCGCCATTGCCACATGTATACTATCACATTTGTATATAACTGGTCGAGGCACGCTCAACCAGGCCTCTTACTTTTCAAGTTTGATTAAACCTGTTACACTGGTAGCAGAGGATGGTTACTACTCTGCTTTTGGCAGGTGTTCTGGTCGCTCTGCTTACGCTCCTCGTACTCGTCGTTCGGCTGATAAACGATATCAAGACCGCTCAGCGCGTTAGCCAAGGAAACCGAACGATACATCCGAACTCGGAACCGTGGGAGCCAACACCCCGCCTTACAAAAGAGCCGCCTGTGTTTGGAGGAGATTCCGCTACATTCAAAGAATGGACGTTTGCAATGGACATGGCCCTACGGTCGTTGGCACTCCCAAATGCGGCACAGAGGGTCGACTACGCGGCAGGATTTTTGACTGGAAACGCTCGTCTTTGGTTGATAGCGGCATTGGAAGCTAACCAAGTGTTTTCCGACTGGCCTGCTCTGAAAGCGGCACTTGGCGATGTGTACGGACCACGGCACAACGAGGAAATATCGCGTATGGGACTAATTTCCGCAGCGCAGCGCGGGTCGCTGGACGCATACATTGCTGCTTTCACTCGCCTCAGCCTGCAAGTGCCGGAAATCGACCACCACACCAGAGCGCTGCTGTTCGTCAGGGGTCTAGTTCCGCACATCCAGCGACAGGTCATGCGTGAGCATCCACGTACCCTGGAGCAAGCTGTCATGGCAGCAAACACCGTGGAGCAGTCGTCAGGGCCACCGGCGTCGGGGCCACCAGCCAGTAGAGAGTCGCGTTCCGTGCCCAGCTTCCGTGGTCAGGGCCTCCGCAAGCTGACGGACCAAGAGCGTGTCCAACTGCGAGCAATGGGACACTGCTTTGCTTGCAGGAAGCCAGGCCACCTCGCTAAAGACTGTACTGACGGTGGACAGCGCTACCCAAACGCTGGTCGCCAGTAAGAAAGGGGGTGCGCTTACTGGCGACGACCGAAGCACCCACGCCGGTACCAGTCGCTAACCGGTTCGGAGCTCTGGAGGTTGAAGACGTTGCTCTCCAGGAACCTACGGAGCCGGAGACACCCATAGCTGTAGGAAATTGTCCCGTTGCAGAAAGGTGTCATGTCAGCAACGTCAGCGTCGGCAATGAACCTGAACACGACCTACTGCGCATACAGGGAAAGATCGGCGGTCGCCGTGCAGTGATGCTGATAGATTCCGGTTCGACGCATGACTTCATTGCAGACAGTTTTGTTCGAAAGCATCATCTTGACACGGATGCAAGCTCAGCAGTGCTGAGCGTAACATTGGCGGACGGCTCGACCAGCGAGGTCCCGCAGATTTCCACACGCACGCTAAGGGTGACAGTCGGGGGCTTCAGTGAGGAACAGCACTTTACTGTGTATCCCCTGACTCGCTACGACGCTATTCTTGGCAAGCCGTGGCTTACAAGGAACAACCCCAGCATCAACTTCCGTACGAACGAAGTTCAGTTGGACGGTGAGCCCTTTGTTGCCAAATTGCCTTCAGCTAA